GGGAGGGGAGGGGAAGTATTAGGGAGAGTTCAGAGAGAGCACTCCTCAGCAGAGAGGAGGCCATGGGCTCAATCTCCAGTACTGCAAAGAGTAGCAGAAAGTATTTTGTGGCAATATAAGAAAAAATAAGGACATTCCCGGGAGGAAATACACAAAGTGTGGAGCAGAGACTGAAGGAAAGGCCATCCAGAAACTGCCCGACCTGGGGATCCATCCCATATACAGTCACCAAACCCAGATACTACTGTGGATGCCAAGAAGTGCTTGCTGACAGGAGCCTGATATAGCTGTCTCCTGAGAGGCTCTGCCAAAGCCTGACAAATACAGAGGCAGATGATCAGAGGCCATTGGACTGAGCACAGGATCCCTGATAGAGGAGTTAGAGAAAGGACTGAAGACGCTGAAGGAGTTTGCAACCTTACAGGAAAAACAACAACCAACCAGATCCCCAAACTGGCTGAGCTCCCAGGGACTAAGCCACTACCCAAAGAGTACACATGGAAGGACCCATGGCTCCAGCTGCATATGCAGCAGAGGATGGCCTTGTCATGCATCAATGGGAGGAGAGGCCTTTGATACTGTAAAGGCTTGATGCCCCAGTGTAGGGGAATGCCAGGGTGGGGAGGCAGGAGTGGGTGGGCGAGTAGGGGAACATTCACATGGAGGCAGGGGGAGGGGGGATGGGATAGGGAGTTTCCAGGGGAGGGGAACTGGGAAAGGGAATAACATTTGAAATGTAAATAAAGAAAATATCCAATTTAAAAAAGTAAAAAAAAAGAAAATAGCTTAAGTATGAAAAGTTGATATTTATTGACCTTCAGTGTTTATTCTAATCAAGACACATTTCCAAGTGCTTTACGGATTAACTCATATGTCTTAACTAATAAATATCTTCTGAAAAGAGAAAACAATATGACAAAAAAACAAGATGATTTTATAAGTTAGTAGCCATAAAAAGAAGGTTGTAGATCAATTGAAATGGTTGAAAATGCAATTTCCCTCACAAATCTGTTTTTAACAACTATGCTTGAGTTACCAAACAATTCATGTTAAGGTTTAAATATCAGGCATCCCACCAACCACACATCAGAGCTCAATGTGGAGCTTATAAAGCTCTTGGAGGGTGAAGTCCCTGAGTGTGCTAACCACATCAGTGAGTTAATCCATTCATAGGTTCAACTGAATAGGTTTCCAGGAGGTGGCGACTCTTAGAGAAAGTGGGTCACCTAGGCTATGCCCATGAAAGGTGTATCTTGTCTTTGGTGGTTTTCCTCCCTTCTCCCACTCTTCTCTACCCCTCCTCCTGCTTCCAAACCTCCAAGGCTACCAAGAGATGATCAGGTCTTCTCTGCCATGACATACTGCTGTAGGGCTCTTAAAGTCACTTTCTTATTTGTCACAATAATAACAATATCGCACATGTTCTCTCTCTCTCTCTCTCTCTCTCTCTCTCTCTCTCTCTCTCTCTCATTCTTTCTCTCCTCCCCCTGTGTGCGCGTGCACACACACATAAACACACACATACACTCCTTACATATGTCAACTCCAGTTTTTATGTGTGTATATACATATTTGTTTTAAAGCATGTACTTCCAGAAACATACCAAAAAAGGTAAAAAGGTAAGAAAAACGTAAAATATTCTATACAGAAAATTGGGGATGGAGGTAATACATATGATTTAAAAACTTCCCAACTAATCCTGCCTTAGAAAAAATGTTAAGGAGACAAGATAATTTTATCATAAATAACTTAAGTATTTAGAAAGTAGTTTTGTATTAAGAAGCTACTAAGCATTAACTCTGGAAGCAAACGCAAATGTTACATTACTTGTCCCAATTTCCTTAAATTAGCGTTCTTAGTCATTATAATATCTGATTTTACAGTTATTCAAATGTCTTCGTAATGTTAATTCGAGCTGTAACAGATGATTATTTCCACTGATAGATATTTTATTAAAATTTTAAGACACGGACAAGAAAAGTGCCAACAAAGGACCAATTAGAGTTTAACCAGGATTAATTTTGCTAAAATGCTCATGCCTTCTGTTGCATTGCAATTAATATATACAACTTATCTCTATCTACAAACATAAATTATTTAGGAAAAACTACATGATTGCAGACATGTCAAAGACACATGAATAATTTATGCTTAAAGGATACAGATTATGAAATCTTCCCCCTCCCCAAGGAAAAGAAATGGCTGGAAATAAGAACAGAAAGAATACCTCAGGAAAATTTTGGATTTATAGGTCTTGCTCTAATTTCTTCTTTGAAACAAACAAACAAACAAACAAACAAAGATGTCCTTTGCTTTGGAATATACTACATGATCTGAATCTAACGAATATGTATCAAAAAAAAAAAAAAGAAATGCTATGGGCAAGACATGAGAGTGAGCACATTTACAATACAATTGTGGCATTGCAAATAATCAGTGTTTCAAAATATTAATTAATATTAACTTTAAAAGATATAATTCCTTAATAGCTACCCACAAAGCCACATGCACATACCCAAAACAGTACACAAAACCAAAAGGAAACACAATATAAAATGCAGTTCAGTCCAAGGATTAGAAAGGAAGTGAAACACATGATTCTAAGTTATTTGGTATGACTAGAATTATGTTGGACCTAAAAGAGTTGAAAGGAATCTAAGAAGGAAAAAAATGTCAGGGGTAGGAATCCTGCCTCTGAGTGTCAAGAAATGGTGAGGCTTGAGAGCGACTTGGAGAAGAAATGGGCAGAAGTCATGCAGATGCACCACAAGATAGCAAGCCAAGCATGAAAAACCATGTGCTGGCACAAAGCGTATGCATGCTGGGAAAGCAGGTGGGTTACAGAATTCCTAGAACAAAAGATTTGGACCAAAGTTTAAGAAAAAAAAAATCAACAGAGACTTCAGAGTTGAGGAACACATAGAATGAAAGTCTCATTAGTCCATAAGGAAATCTCATTTCTTAACATTGCTATGTGACTCACCTAAAGTTCATGTGATAATCTTATAGCCCAAGTCAAAGGAGGCACCAGAATTCCCTCCTCCCCTCATTTCTATTTCTAACCACTCCCCGAGATAAACGGGCTGCTCAGTAAACCCACAGATTGTCCTTGCTCACCCCTTACCTTAAATGCCTACCTAACGCCAATCTTGGTTATTTCAAGATCTGTTTTAAAACACACTTCCTAAATACGGTTTTCTCTTAAAATTCAAGTCCTCTTTCTATTCCTCCTTTTTCCCCTTCAACTTCTAACGCTTAAATTGCTGGGCCTCTCAGTTTAGCATTTAATTATTCACTGGTATTGCTTGCTATTTTTGTGTATGGAAAGTGTCTTTTCAACTAGATATTAAGGTGTTAAAAAGACAATGACAGCGTAGCCTGGTTCTTGTCCTTCACTGACCTAACACAGTTGTACACAGTTGGTCTTCATCAAGTACTAAAGGCAACGCAACACTGAGGGACAAGAATAAAAACCTAAGGGTGAGAACAAAGAATGAAAAGAACTGGGGTGACCACTTAAGAGTTGGATAACCAATCCGTGTGCTCTTCCCTGGGAAGACTATTTCTCCCACTCTCAGCGTTCCTCAGATGACAGTAGCTCTCCGTGTAGGACTGACCTTGTCAGCCATCATGTTAGCAGGTCTCTTGTTGCTTGCTGTCCTAGTCATTTCATGCTTAAGCAGTCAAGTTAGTGAGTGCTTGATATAAACTGACTTCTTTTTGCTTTGTGTTTTGGTTTGCTTTCCTCTTGAGTCAGGAACATCCTATGAAGCCTGGGCTGGTCCTGAACTCATGGCAATCCTCCTGCCTCAGCTTCCCAAATGCTGAGATTATAGTCCTGGGTCATAATTACTACCCAAACTGACTTCTTCTAATTTCTATAACATGTAGTTGAGTTTAGAAGGGGAAAATGTAGGAAGTGGATACCAAATGGCAGAAATCAATAGGTATATACTTGTATATGGATACATGTATTTCAAGAAGATGTCAGTTTTGCAACCTCACAACTTCTTTTTAAACATTCAAGACGTGGGCTTCATCCTACTGAAGATGAGGAGGAGAAACTGAGACTCCCACTTAAAGACCAGCACCTGGAAGGACCATCCATAGTTTAGAGGTTGTATTAGAAACCCAGAGGCCAGGGAGTGTGACATCAGAAAAGGCAGTGAGCTGGAGCATCTGAAGCACTCTGGAAAAGTCTCAAATGCATACCCCCAAAATTCTTCATATAAATATAAAAACAGGCCCACGTAAAAATGAATTAACAGTGAAAAATAAAATTAATCAGTGATAAAACCTACCATGAGTGTGAACTGTCAAAAGCAGAGGATCTCATTCTAAGATCTTACAATAATAAAACA